AAATTGCGGCAAATCAGTGTTTTGATTTGGCCCTTCCCTTGTGGTTTTTAGCGAAGCAAAGGGTAGTACAAAAGAGGAGATTAAGAAGATTAGCCCCTTTTTCCCCATTTTAGAAATTCAATGATCTGTAATGCACTGTCCCTTCCTTCCTGTCAAACAAACAAAATTTATTTACAATGGTTGTCTCTGCATCACAACTAGACTGAAAGGTTTTATTCAGTAGTTGGAATTAGAATGGCACTCTGACAAGCCAGCGATTTTGGAATAGCATATTGGGTTAGGTTTTTGGCAAGATAGAAACACTAACAGAGGAACACAAAAAAGAGAAAAAATGGGAGAGGACAGAAGCTAAAACCCACCAAATGTTGGGGATAGCGAGAGGGCACACGAAACAAAAATTTTACTGCCTAATAAAATATTTTGTTGCCGCGTGTCTTAGCCACGGGCTCTCCGTGCGTGGCAAAATTTTATTTTTGTAATTAACTTTGCCATGGTTTGGGAATCGGAGTTAAAAAATTATGCCTAATAGCCGCCTTTTTTGTAGTGAATATGAAATGGACACCATAATAGGAAATAAAACTTGATAATTAGTAGATCTCCCACCTGGTTCCAAGCCCATTGACTTTAAATAGATTTTCACAAAGAAAATGAAAGTAGATGGAAGTGTTGATAAGTTTAAACCAAGATTGGCTACTCAAGGGTTTACATAGAAAGAAAGAATTGACTACTTTGACACATATGCCCTTGTAGGTAGAATTGCTACAATAAGAGTGCTTTTGACACTTGTTTCTAGTAATAAACTTGTCGTTCATCAAATGGATGTTAAAACATTATTCTTAAATGGTGAATTGGATAAGGAGGTGCATATGAAACAACCCGAAGGGTTTGTTATTTCTAGTGAAGAAAGTAAAGTGTGTAAATTAATTAAGTCCTTATATGGACTAAAGCAAGCTCCTAAGCAATGGTATCAAAAATTTGATCAAGTTGTTTTTACAAATGGATACAAAGTAAATAAACCAAATACAGTAAATTTAATAATGGAAAAGATGTCATGATTTGTTTATATGTTGATGACATGTTAATTTTTAGTACTAATTTGAATAAGATAGAAAATACCAAGAAGTTCTTGTTTAGTAATTTTGATATGAAAGATAGAGGGGTAGCATATGTTATACTATGAATCAGAATAACCAGAGGATAATAGTATTGGACTATCTCAATCTCATTATATAGAAAATGTCTTAAAGAAATTTGATCGTTTTAATTATCATCCTGTTTCTATAGCTTTTGATTCAAGTATTAAGTCAGTACCAAATAAAAGTTTTCTAGTTGCAAAATATGATTATGCAAAAATAATTGGATGCTTAATGAATGCAATCACATGTATACGACCAGATATTTCCTATGTTATAAGGAGATTGAGTCAGTATACAAGAAGTTCGAGTAAGGACCATTGGCATACCATTAAAAGAGTATTAAAATACTTAAAGGCAACAATGAATTATAGTTTAAATTATAATGGAAATTCTTCAGTTTTGGAATCATATATAGATGCCAATTAGGAAAATTATGTAAAAGATTACACTTCTACAAGCAATTAGATCTTTACTTTTAGTGGAGGTACTGTTTCTTGATGATCAAAGAAACAAACTTGTATTCCTGATTCCACCATGGTTGTAGAGTTTATAGCTTTGGCAACAAGATGCAAAAAAGTTAAGTGGCTTAAAAATTTGCTTCATGAAATTCCAGAATGGCCAAAACCAATGGCACCAATATCTATTCATTGTGATAGTCAATCTACACTTTCAAAGGCATATAGCCAAATGTATAATGGAAAGTCCAGACAAATTGGGCTAAGACATAGTTATGTGAAAGAATTGATAACAAATGGAGTTGTTTCCATTGCATTTATAAGGTTGAACAAAATCTTGCCAATATTTTAACAAAAGGATTGCCAAGGGATTTGGTATGAAAAACATCAATTGGGATGGGACTCAAGCTCACATTTTAAATGATCACCAAATGATAGAATCTCGACTCACACTTGAGTAACATCAAGTTTTGAGTTCAATGAGAGAGTATATTAATAGAGTGATTGGAAGTACTTATTTATATTCATCCCAAGGCAAAAAGTACTTAGTACCGTAAATAAATAAAATGAAAGGTTGAGCCTTGCTCTTGATAGACCTATAGCATATATTTGCTTGATAGACTTATAGCATATATTTGCTAAAGTGCTTATTATGGGTACGCTTTTGATAGAGTTTACTTCTATGAGAATGAAGTGGGGCTGTTTCTTAGAGTTAAGGGCTTGACTCTTAAAGCTATCATGAAAGGGATACTAGACGCAAGGCCATCTTAATTGTGTAATATTGTTAAAATGACATTCCATAGTATTGAGATCTTATGTGTAAGGTTTGCACACTAGTTTATATGGATTAAATGGTTTAAAGCTAGTCTACCATTGGTTTTGAATTAGTGACGCACATGACTTATTAAGTAAATGTTCAAATTGCAAGATGCCTTTATCTAAAGCATAAGATTTCCAGCATGACAAGGATTTGGAATTATTTTTAAATAGTAGAGGATTGTAAGAAGAATTTTCAAAATAAAGGAAAGGCTCAATCCCACATTAGATATTTATGAAATGTGAAAAAACTTCATATATAGAAAGTCTGCCTCTCATATTAAAAGTTTATTACAAGGGAACTATGCCACATGGACCCCACACGCACACGCGTGCGGCATGGGCGCATTTAGGCACTTTTAGGATGCACTTGGCACTTGGACACATGGCACATCCAGGTGTGGAAATTATGGATAATTTAAAATATATATTATTTTAATTATTTTCTTTTATTTATTTTTTTTACATTTATATGTTACCGCAATTTGCAGTTATCAGTTCCTAGAAATTTATGCCCCTTGAAGACAATTTATGACCATTAGAGAATTGTTTATAAAAGGAAGAATCCATCCTTTGCCAAGATATATGATTTTCATACAACCAAATCATTCTTGTATTTCTTTATTGTGAAGGGCCATTGCTGTTTTCTTTTACTACCTTTCTTGTTAATGTCATGAAGTTCGAATGAATTATTCACCTGATCAAAGCCTCCATTTTCATCCCCAACAAGCATAATTTTCTACCTTTCCATTAACTATTTTTTTATTTTTATTATTCATTTTATTAAAGGTCTTTCACTTGGCTGAGTAAAAATCTGCCCCGCTGCATCCTTTTTGATTGCTAAAAATTAAACACTAATTTTGATTTTCTGAAAGGTTAACACAAGCTAGAACTAATTTTGTTTTATGATTTCATCCACCAACTTTAAACTTGAAGAAAACTACATCAAATTAGGACACCACATCCCAAGCCTCCCCATTTCTAGGATTAAATGAGGTCACATCTTCAAGCTCCAAATGTTAATTGAAGTTAAAATTAACCTACTCCTCAGCACAAAACTCATGTAAGCGATTTGCTTTAAATTGTCTAGCCATCAGGCAATCACTTTACTTGTTTTGTCATTAGCATTTAGCTAGAACTTGATATCCTTGAAAGGGTAACTTAGGGCACTTAAATAGGCCCATGCTTCTTAAATTACCTTCAAAATTTGCATCAAATCTACACTTCTCCTTTTCTATACAAAGCTTTCAACTTAGGGGCTGTTCGGATGGAAGGAGAAGATATAGTAGGATAGGATATAGTAGAATAAATTTAAGTGGATTAAATAGTATTACCATACGTTTGGTTTAACATATAAGAAATGAGATAAAATTTTAAATTTACTAAAATGCCTTTAAAGGTAAAAAAAAAAAAAAAAACAAAACAAAACAAAACAAATCAAGCTGGATAGGGTTAGATCATGATCCACCCTTTGACAACCAGCCACCGGCCTCTGACATGCTAGGTTGGGTCAGCTCGTCAGGCTGACCTAGGCAAACCAAGAACAACCTCTAGAAGTCGGGTCATTCAGGTCGTTCGAGCCAAAAGCCATGAATGACCTCCAGAAGTCTACGATGAGCGCAGACAGCGACCGCCGAGGTAGATCGACGCTCGTGATGCCGGCAATTGGCGTTCCAGAAGAAGATTGTGGGCGAATAAGATCCGGGTCTTCAAATCGGGCCAGACGCCATGGACGAGCTCTAGAAGCTCTGGCAGTGCCAGCGGTGGGCGATTGCGCGTCGTCTCCCTCTGCGCTCATGGGTGATTGCAAGTGTCTGGTCATGGCTTGTGGATCACCATCATTTGGGTCGTTCAAGAGGACAAAGACTGTTACAGCTTGTGGGTGATTCAGAGGGCATTTCTGTCCAAAACAGATGTTTATCGGGGGATAAATTTTATCCCCCCACACACGGCAGATAAACTATCTGCCATATGCAGATGCATATCATTCTCTTGTTCCGTTACACGCCAACCGAACACGTATAACAACTGATAAAACTTATCTTCTCAACCCTTCTCAACCCTACCGAACAGCACCTTAAGTGAAAATGCACATTATCCAACAAATTCATGTCAATTCAGTAAGGCAAGAAGTAAACTTATTGATAAAAGGATAGGAGTTAATGATAATAGCACTTACACAAACCTGTGAGCATTTGATTTAAAAAATGACTGCAACTTCAATCCAACAAATGAACCAATCAAATTGCTATAGAAAATATGTACCCAATTCCGATTAATTAGCGTCCCCTCCGTATCTCTAAGAAACAAGCAATTACAAGGTATTTGGGGGAACTATAAAGATTGTCTGGCTTCAAAACATCAATCAAAAGAAGCTTGTAGAAGAAAATAAAAAAGAAAAATAAGGAAAAGAAAGAAGAGAACTATTTAACTCATTATCAGCCTTGTACAATTACAAGAGTGAAACCACTAACAGAAAATTTGTGTTGGCCTTCTTGAAAATGAGTGACTACAAGATATCTTGATAAAACTAGAATAATAGGAGTAGAAGGAGTAATAAATAAAAAAGTAAAAGAATAATCAAACTGAGATATTATCGGCCTTTAACAACTGTAAGAGTGACATCATTCACAGAACATCCTTGATGGCATTGGTGAGGAGAATCAGTCCAATAAGAGGTATATCTCTCAATAAATGCAGGTTGATTTGGTGAGGGAAGCACTGCAGTTTCACTACCTAGCATTGAAAGAACCTTTGAAATGGTCGGTCTATCAGCAGCAAATTCTTGCACACATAACAAACCAACATGTAAGCATCTCAAGATTTCATTTCCAAAGCCTTGATAAGAAATTCTTGGGTCGATAAGAGTCAAAATTTTGTCTTCATTCCACAACCTCCATGCCTGAAATGGTCAATTAGTGACAGAAGAAACTTCATGAGGTGATAAATATTGGACTACTAAACAACCAGAGACTTGAGTTGTTTAACTGGACTTACCAATCCCAAAAGGCTGAGTGCTTGTTCGTTGTCATAAAAACTAGTGTTTCTTTTCCCACTTACAATCTCTATTAACAACACTCCAAAACTGAATACATCTGATTTCTCCGAAGACCTCCCTTGCATTGCATATTCAGGAGCCATATAGCCACTGCAGAATCTTATGGTAAATTTGTTAGCAGCATGTCATTCCAATATGAAATAAGGATTTCATATTGAAAATTTTTGTGGAAAGACATCATTTACTATGTCCCAACCACCCTCCCTGTATGGGCTTGATTTTCATTGCTAGCAAAAATTCTTGCCATACCAAAATCAGAAATTTTTGGATTTAGCTCCTCATCCAACAAGATGTTACTTGCCTTTAGGTCCCGATGAATGATCCTTAATCTGGAATCCCTGTGAAGGTAGAGGAGACCTCTACCTATCCCTTCGATTATATTGAAGCGCTTATTCCAGTCCAAGACTTGCTTGCTGGGCTCTAAAAGAAAAGTATCAAGAGAAAAATTAATACCATTGAGTGAGTAAAAACACTATGACAAATAAAATCAATATTAGGATTGAAGTTTTGATATAGGTGTATTAAGCTCATGTAGAAAATATTTGCAATAATGAAAAATTTATCTATCAGAGATTCATTTACTTTGGAAGTATTGAAGTAGAGATGTTATAAGTAATAGATATTTTGGATACTAACCAAATAGGAAACCATCCAAACTTCCACTTGGCATGTATTCATAGATCAGCATCTTCTCCTCTCCTTCAATGCAGCAGCCAAGCAGTCTAACAAGATTGGGATGTTGGAGTTTAGAAATCACCACAACCTCGTTCATGAATTCCTCTAGACCTTGACTTGAGGACCTAGAAAGCCTTTTCACAGCTATCTCTTGCCCATTTGGAAATTTCCCCTGAAAATTAATTTTATTTTGCATCTCAAAGCAACATAGAGCCAAATACAGGATGACCAAAGCATTACCTTGTATACAGGACCAAAACCACCCCGTCCAAGCTTATTGGTCAAGTGAAAGTTTTCTGTTGCCGCTGCCAGCATCTCAAACTTGAAAAATTGTAGCTCTTCTAGTTTAGCATTGATTGTATTAGCGTCAAGCAAAAGTTCAGTTGAATGGTCCTGATTCTTGGAGTTCTTAAATAGTGGCATGTTGCTCAACCTCGGCATTCCTGATTTTCAAGAGGGCTATAAAAACATCAATGCTTCTTAAATATTTCTCAGCTGAAGTAACTCTACTTCACTTTACCTTTTTGCTTAACCACCCTCATCTATGAGATGTAAGCACACATGGCAAAGATTATTGAACCTATACTCACGGAAATTGCAATTGCTACGTCCTTGTTGCCTTTATCCACTGCTAAGTAGGATAAAAACGTAAAGACTTTAGCAAGGACAAACCTCAAACTTGCAACGTGCAATATAATAATAACAAAAAGGATGCATGGGACATTCATCATGGGGCTGACTAAAAGGAATTCAAAATTTTGTTTGATAATATCTTATATTAAATGCAGTTGGGTTGCCTTGTTCTGGTAATTAAAACTTGAAAGACAACTAGCTTAATAAATAAGGTAACCACGTAGCAGAAGTTGCGGTCAAAGCAGAAGGCATTACCAAGCTCGGAAGATGCAAGACGAATGTAAAGATCCGCCCCCTGTTTGGAAAACTCCTGCAAGTCAACTAAATGTTCTCTCCACAACATGCAACCTATGCCCAAATAATATGTATATGCTGTGCAAGAACAATTCTTTAAGCATTTGTTTTCACACTCAATTTCTGGAACAGACAATATGTCTTGTGAATCTGGCAATTTCATTCCTGTGAGCTTCCGGAACCCATCTTTCTTGCCAGTCCCGTTCCTCTCACAATACAAAAGAGCCTTCCTCACACAGCCACCACTGAAGTTCCCATGTCCCCATTCCTCTTTGTAAGCAGGCCTAAACCCTGGCAAACAGCTACACACTGGGGACTTGTTTGAGTTGCAACTTCCAAATTGGCTACACTTGTCATAAAGGTCGCACTCAGTTTTTTGACTCGTCCAGCTGACCGCCCAGTCTTGCTTCTCCATGTTCCACGCCATCCTCACTATTTTTCCTTCTGGGTTTAGACGGAAGTGCAAGGTTCGGTCATCTTGAATGTAATACATAGACGCACTTCCTTCGTCATACTCAAAAGTAACGCGATTGAGATAACTACGATTCATAGTTTCTAGTCCAATGAAAATCCGACCATCCCCAGAACCACTGCGCCAATACAGACTGCTGCCATTCCACCCAGCCAATTGTACAGCCGTTAGAGGGTTAATTCCACCGGAGAAGATTCCAACAGATGGATCAGAAAGGCTTCTCCATGATTTCAACAGAGTCTTCTCACCTGTGTTATTTTTAATCCTCAGTCTCATCTTCTGTAGCAATGTGTCTGAAGGGTACTTAAAGCTCTCCCAAAGTGTTTTTCCATTGTACTGCAGCATAAGGTTCCCCGAGTCTAAAAGACGGGCACTTGAATTGACCATAAAGTTTGATATATTTGTTGACCAAATAATCTCCTTGTGTCCATCGATAACAACAAGATTGCCTTCTTCAGAGATGGTTATAATCCCTGACAAATCAGTCAGAGGTCTATCTCTATTGGCTACCCATACAACTGATCTAACAGGGACATTGCTGAACCAGATGCCAACATAGCGGTTGGTGGTATTGGGAGGGCTGAAGAATCCCAGTTCAAAGGCCTTGTTGGCGGAGACAATAGTTTCAGGGTCAGTTATGGCTGAGCAGGTGTGATGCTGTCCGAGGCAAAATTAGATTTCAAAGCAAAACAAGAGAAGAAGAGGAAGACAACCTCAACACGAAGTGGTTTTTCACAGATGATGAATTCCATGACTTCTGATGATTTTGGGCGGTTAGGATTAGGTGCTGCACTGCCGTGTTACGGACTATTTATGCTAAGATGATTTTTCAATTGCTATGATTATTCATACTTCTCAGCAGGAGCACATCTTTGCAAATTTCTTGGTCGACCATGACGGTAGATAGTAATTGGCTGTCTAGTTCCAGTAACGTAGGTATCAAAGAAGACTTCATTATTTTGTAATTTGAAAACAGCAATTCCACCGTATTTGATGGGTAGAAATTTTCAATTAGCTCACTTTTTTATGCATGCCAATGACTAATACTGAAGCGCAATAAATTGAATTCTCTAACTTTCGAATTTTATATAGGTTTTAAGATGGAAATTCTTGCGGTAGTAACTTCTCAGATCTTTATATTATTAGTCATTTCACTATTACAATGCAATTAGAAGCTCTTCAATTTTTTCTCTCCCTTCCTGTTCTAGGTTGGAAAAGTTCGCATGAACGTACTGTACAGCGCATCGCTGTTGTTCTCTTTTCCCGGCTCTCTTATAATGTCATGAAATTCAAATAAACTATTCTATCAAAGCCTCCATTTTCATATCCGACTAGTATGAGTTTTCTTCCTTTCCCATTGACTAAGTTTTTTTTATTCCCATTAATTTATTGAAGGTTTTTACTTGGCTGAATTAAAATCTCCACGGCAGCATCCTTCTTGATCATTAAAACTTTGAACACTATTTTTAATTTTACAAAATTAGCTTACGTCTAGAGTAATTTCGTTTTATGATGACATCTTCCAACTTCAAAATCGAAGAAAAAGACGTCACACGTTAGTAAGCCTCCTCATTCTAGGCTTAAATTAGGACATCCCTTCAAGCACGCTCATTGAAGTTAAAGTTGAGCAGGTCATCAACGCAAAAGTCACTTAAGCGACTGGCCATTTTTTATATTTGAGAAAAAATACAAAGCACATGTTTTGCAGCAATGGTAACCAGGTGATTATCGTCCTTTCCATATTAATATAATAACTTTTTTAATCACCAAAATAATTAATTCTTATTTATTTATCTAAAATAGTTTTAAAATATCTATTATTAGGAAGCCAATTTGGTCAGAGCCAACTTTCTTTTAGAAAAGTCAGTTGAGTCAGAATTAACTTTTTATGGGAATCAGTCTTTTAAAAAACTAACTTAATAGAATTTCACATTCAAGGAAAACCAACTTCCTATAGAAACCAATTTAGGAAGGGCTGGGCTTCTAGGGGAAGTTAGTACCTTAGGACCTAAGCTTCATCCAGAGATGGAGCTCTTAAACTGACTTTTTTGAAAATGTTATTTTTTTATAAACTAACTTTATTAGAAAGTTGGTTTTGATCCAACCAATTGATAAAAAAAAGTTATTTTGGCTAGACAAACTTTTAACATAAGTCATTTTTAACCGTTTTGCTAAATAAATAGCTATAACTATTTTGGTAAATAAAAAAATTATTATACTATATAAAAATGCCGGTGATTATTCATGTCTAGTTTAGCTTTGGCCACTTGTTAGGCCTGTTCATAGGTCCGATCCAAACCGTGAACCTGCTGGACCAAACCTTAAAAAAGGACTAGACCAAACTATCAATTTCTAGTCTAGTTCAATTTTGAACCTTAAGGTTTCATAATTGGTTAAAATTCATGGTGTTTGGAATATAAACTGAAACCAGAACTAGAACCGTACCAAAATTAGTGAATTGAAATAAGATAAAACTGTATTAATTGAATCGAATTCAAACCATGAACCGAATCTACGAGTGAATTGTTAATATTGAACATGAATTGGAATCTTGAGTTAGAACTATGAATAAATTATAAGAAGTGAATCATGAAGCAAACTATAAGTGAACCGTGAACCATAATCGTGAAAATTTATTTTTTCTTTATATTACATATAAAAAAGGACTTTTACTTGCTTTTTAGATGTGAATTTATACAATTTATTTTTTACATATAAAATAAAAACTTAATTTTACATAGAAATTTATTTTAAACACATTAATTAACAAAACTTATAAAAATTTAATAAAGATTTCTTTCTAATTTAATTTATTTTTAGTAAATCATTAGGTTTAATAGAAAATTAAAATGTTCAATTTGCTGATTTTCTGAAAATAAATTAAAAAATTTCATATTTTTAGAAAATAAACAACTCCTTGATTGTAGCAGTTGTTAGGCAAATCCCAATAATTAGCTATATTTAACAAAACGCTAATTGACTTAATTGATATGAAATGAGCAAGATATAAGTTTAGAAGAATATTTTGAAATTCTTCATAGTGAAAGCAAAAATTGAATCAATTTTTAATTTTTTCACGCATGACAAAAAATATCTTGACGTCACTTGTTTCAATATTTTCAGTTGAATAAGCTTTTAGTATAAAAGGTCAAACATTAGATGAAACCCATTTGAGCATATTTGCAACAAATGTTGAAGGTCAATCATGTCATGATGATTCATAAGGGCTATCTATAAATAACAAGAATTTATCATAAAATCAAATCAAGAAAAAGATGAAGAAACAACTGAAACTGGAGATAATGAAACTTAAAATAAAAGGTAAAGGCATATATTAATTAAAGTAAAAGAACTACAAATATTTTAATTCCTCTCAATCCCAAGAGGATATATAGCTAGTTTAATTGATATATAATTAAGTTTAAATATTTTATTATTATTTATTTTTGTGATTAATATTTGAAAGATTTTTGAATATTAAATATATATAATATTTAAAAAATAGTTAATAACTCAAAAATATTTGTAAGTTAAAATCTAAATTTTTTTCAATAAAATCAAGCTGGAATTGAATCTAATCGAGAACAAGTCACTAATAAACCATAATTGGAACCGTGAACTAACTCAGACAAAAACCGACTTTCACCGAACCGACCTTCATGTTTCTAGTCCTAGTTTATATTTTTTCAGGATCGAAACCTGCAATCCAGCTCCGGTTAAGCCTATCTGGTTCACAAACCGTAAACAGACCTACCACTAGTTGCTTGATGGATAGCAAGCAGTGGCCAAAAAAAAAAACTTGACAAATTCCATATTTCACATCTTTTACACGTAAAAACAATTACAACAATGCATAATACTAAGAATGGAAAGTCGGTGTCAAAATAACTAGAAGTACTGATAAGAAGTCCTCCGTTGACAGCACTGTTTTCTGGGCTTCATTGGCAACCTCCGTTTTTGGCTATGCGTGACAGCCTCTGCACTTTGTGGTCTGCGTTCTTCTTCTTTCCCTCAACTTATGGTATCCAATCCCACTCAATAAGACTGAAAGCGCATGAAGCTAAAGTACATCTGACATTTGATGAAGATTTTATCTTATTAGATCAGTTCATCTGATACTGTTGACCGAACTCCAAGTTGGAATTTCAATATTATTACTTCCAGCCCTACAAACAATGAAATTCATAAATAAATTTTCTATTACCCCAAGATAATGAATTCAACTATAAAATCCTATTCTTCCACTAAAAACCTGTTTAACCCAAATTGATAAGAATTAAAATGATAAAATGAATCTTTTCCACTTGTATACCTGTTGACCCAAAATTATAAGAATAAGATGAAAGACTGAAATTTTTCAAATAAAATGCCTAATTAGCCCAAAATAATGAGAAATAAAGGGTTACATGAATTTTCCTATCGAGAGCTTATTTGACCCAAAATAATACGAAATATTTGATAAATCGACACATAGTTGGCTATTAATATAAGATCAAAATTGGATTTATCACTATGCCCGACCACCCTCCTGACGTCAGCTTGATTTTTATTGCCTCCAAAAATCCTTGCCATTCCACAATCTGAAATTCTTGGATCTGGATCTTCAGTCAACAGGAAGTTGCTTGCTTTAAAACGACGATGGATGATCCTAATTCTGGAATCCCATGGAGGCAGAGGAGGTCTCTGCCTCACTTCAATAACACTGAGGCATTTAATCCAATCCAGGACTTGCTCATAAGTCTCTGAAATAATATTTTAAAGTGAAAGAACAGTACCAGTCAGTGGATGTAGAAAAACAAATGAAACAAACATTGGCTAGAAGTTTTAGTATTTTGTAGATAAGCAAAATATTGGGAATTCCTATGTCAATGAAAAGATAATCAGCCGATGTTTGGAAGTAGTGCAATTATAAATAACCAAACAGCAAAACCTCCAAGCTTTTATTTGACAGGTATTCATAGATGAGCATTTTTTTCTGCTTCAACTCAGCAGCCAAGGAGTCTAACAAGATTGTGATGCTGGAGTTTGGAAACCACCAGAACCTCATTCATGAACTCCTCTCTCTAGCCAGGGGACCTGCAAATCCTTTTAACTACTAGTTCTTGCCTATTCCCCTAAAATGAAATCATGGTAACTTTACTCACTACAAACAGAATCAAGCTGCAATATGGACAAGCATGCCGAAGCTCGCTGGTTAAATGAAAATCATTTGTAGCAATTGTCAGCTCCTCAAAATTAAAGACAATTCTTCAATTTTAACATCATTAATATTAGTTTCAAGCACAAGATAAGTCAAATATTCTTGAAATTTGTACCAATTCTTAAAGAATGGCATCTTACTTTTTGTTGGAGTATGAAGCAGAATGCTAATGCACATCAGCCACAAC